TGGAGCCGACTAACAGATCTCTGAGGGGAAGAGGTGAGAGGAATGCAGGAGATCCACCAAAGAATATATAGGGAGGGGGGAAATGGGAGACATCGATAATACTATCACCAATGAAAAATATACGCATTTTCATAAACTTTAAAATAATGTAGCCCAGCTGGTGTATCTCAGTGGTTGAGCCTCGACCTATGAACCAGAAGGTTATGGTATTTTTCATTAAACTTTTATTTTTTAAATTATTTATTGTTTAAAGTATTACATATACTATTACATATAACTCCTTTTTCTGCCCAGCCACCCCCACACCTCAGCACATGCCCTTTCCCTCCATAGTGTCTGTGTCCATTGGTTATACTTATATAAATGCATATAAGTCCTTTGGTTGATCTCTTAACCCCTCCCTCCCCTGGCTTCCCTCTGAAGTTTGACAGTCTGTTTGACACTTATGTTTCTGGATCTATTTTTGGTCATCAATTTATGCTGTCCATTATATTCCACAAATGATGAGGTCATATGATACTGTTTCTTTTTCTATTCAGGGTGCATACATGGGTTGCAGGCTCAATTCCCAGTGTGGGGGTGGAGTCATGCACGAGGCAACTAATCAGCAATTCTCTCTCATCATTGATGTTTTTATCTCTCCCTCTCCCTTCCACTCTCTAAAATCAACAAGATCTCTGAGGGGAAGAGGTGAGAGGAATGCAGGAGATCCACCAAAGAATATATAGGGAGGGGGGAAATGGGAGACATCGATAATACTATCACCAATGAAAAATATACGCATTTTCATAAACTTTAAAATAATGTAGCCCAGCTGGTGTATCTCAGTGGTTGAGCCTCGACCTATGAACCAGAAGGTTATGGTATTTTTCATTAAACTTTTATTTTTTAAATTATTTATTGTTTAAAGTATTACATATACTATTACATATAACTCCTTTTTCTGCCCAGCCACCCCCACACCTCAGCACATGCCCTTTCCCTCCATAGTGTCTGTGTCCATTGGTTATACTTATATAAATGCATATAAGTCCTTTGGTTGATCCCTTAACCCCTCCCTCCCCTGGCTTCCCTCTGAAGTTTGACAGTCTGTTTGACACTTATGTTTCTGGATCTATTTTTGGTCATCAATTTATGCTGTCCATTATATTCCACAAATGATGAGGTCATATGATACTGTTTCTTTTTCTATTCAGGGTGCATACATGGGTTGCAGGCTCAATTCCCAGTGTGGGGGTGGAGTCATGCACGAGGCAACTAATCAGCAATTCTCTCTCATCATTGATGTTTTTATCTCTCCCTCTCCCTTCCACTCTCTAAAATCAACAAAAATATTTTAAACAAAGTATATACATATACATATATATATAGGCCATGGGCATAGACAATAATGTGTTGAGGGACTAGAAGCAGAGGAGGCAGGGTAGAGGGAGAAAAGCCGGGAGGAGTATGGCAGAAATTGGGAACATCTGTAATAGAGTCAGCAATCCTATATAATAAAGAGCAAATATGCAAATAGTCATCACGCCCTCGCACCCTTGTGCCCTCACGCTGGGGCTGTGGGACCTGAAGCTGGGCCATGGGACATGAGGCCGTGTCCCCAGCCTCAGAGCAGGGGCCTAGGGACCTGAAGCCATGTAGCCGTGAGGCCGGGCCTGGGGACCTGAGTCCGCGCCCCACACCCTGGTGGGGCTTGTTGTGGGACCTGAGTCCCCACCTCCCACCTCTCTTACTGGGGGACCTGAGGTAAGGCTGGGCTACCTGCTGCCATGCCCTCTGCCCTGGCGCTTGGGCTGGGGGACCTGTGGTCATGCCCCCTGCCTCAGCACTGGGGCCGGGGGCCCTGAGGCCGGGCAGAGGGACCTGAGGACATGCCCCTGGTCTCCGCGGGTCTTTACAAGGTTCCTGAGGTCAGACTGGGGGACCTGAGGCCACACCCCCTGCCCTGTGGGGCTTGACAGGGGTGGGGCCGGCTGGGTCTGGGTCTCTCACGATTTTGAGAAACGCACAGGTGGACAGGGATTTGATTATGGGTCCCATGGCGTGCCACCACTCTGACAGGAGGGAGATTTTCATATACATTTTACTGATTTTCTTTTATCTCTGACACTTCTATTATAAAGGGCAAATAGCAATATTAAAATATTTCCTCTAATTAATTCCCTTTTAATGTGCATGTATTTTTTGTACCAGACCACTAGTCTATATGTATAAAAAGGCAGCTACCATAAAGGCCATAACGATCTAACAACTGGTCACTATGAAGCCCACTGTGGCCAGCTAACCGACCCGATCAGCGGGTGGGGCAGATGGCCAAACATGTGGCCCCTCCTCCTGCGGGCCCACCCTGATCAGACTCTCCCACCCAGATTAAGACCAGGGTGTGCTGGCCAAATTCCCCCTCTCCCCACTTCTGATCCACCCCCAACCCAAATACGGGGTGAGGCTGGCTGGCCAATCTCCTGCAACCCCTCCCCCCACCTGGCCCCATCCCAAATCGGCTTCTCGACCCCAATCAGGGACAGGGATGGCCAGCCAACCACCTATGGCCCTTCCGCCGAACCGATGGCCCTGATTGGCACCCCCCACCCACCCCACTTGGGGGCGGGGCCAGCAGGCCCACTGCCGACAGCCCCTCCCCAAGGCCTGCCCAGCCCCCTATAGGCCCTGCAATAAGAATCAGGGGCACGGCACACCGGCCAGTTGCCCGAGGCCCCTTCATCCGGCAAGCCCAGCCCTGATCCGGGGCCCTGATGGGGCCCTGAACCAGGCATGCTGGCCAGCACCTCCCGCCATCTCCTGCTCCTGACAGGCCCAGCCCCAATCCGCCCTGATTGGGGCCGGCCAGCTGGACCCCACCCATGCACTAATTTGTGCACTCGGCCTCTAGTAAAAAATAACAGTTTGCACAGCCAGTGGGGCTCAGTGGTTGGGCGTGTACCCATCAACCAACATCTTGCTAGTTCCATTCCAGGTCAAGGCACATACCCAGGTTGGGGGCTCCATCCCAGTGGAGGAATGCTGGAGGCAGCTGGTCAATGATTCTCTCTCATCACTGATGTTTCTTCCTTCCTGTTCTCTCTAAAAAATCAATAAAGACATTTAAAAAATGAAAAGTGTTAAGATTGATTTGACTCAACACAACAAAGTGATTGTGGGCCATCACGTTATCTTCCAAGTCTTGTAAGCACAATCATGCCTTGTTCTGTCTTTATACAGGATGTCCCAGGCACAGTTTGTAGGGAACAGGAACCAGCCTGGAGCTGGTCTGCCTCAGCTTGGCCTATAGTGTTTGAGTTCTTGACTTCATGCAGAAAAGATTTCACAACTGGAGTTCAGAGATTTTGAGGAACATTTATTAAAGATGGGGATAATGAAAAATATCTAGGGCTTAGGATAGAACAAGGAACAGCAGAGAGACTAGGTGGGGCTCCTATGGCTCTCTAGAAACACCACTGTGAGCTCACTGGAGAATCAGAGAAAAAGAGGCCTTGAGCACAGGTTCAGGGGGTTCGTCCTGGATGAGCTGTCGCTGCTCATTGCTGCCTCGGTTGCAGGTCGAGCGGGATCCCAAAAGCTTAGGAGAGCCTGGCCGGTGTGTTTCAGTGGTTGAGTATTGACCTATGAACCTGGAGGTCACAGTTGCATTCCCAGTCAGGACACATGCTCAGGTGGTGGTCTGGATCCCCATTGTGAGGCATGCAGGAGGCAGCCTATCAGTGATTCTCTCTCATCATTGATGTTTCTATCCCTCACTCATCCCTTCCTCTCTGAAATAAATATAATTTTGAATGTATGTTTTAAATCAATTATACTTACATCAAAGTTTAAAAAATGATTAAAACTTGCCACTTCCAAGGAGACATATGTAATACTCTTTGTAATACTTTAAGCAATAAAACAATTAAGAAAAACTTGCCACTTCCCAATTATTTTACTATTTCACTATGAAAGTTCTTGAGCATGTTTATACCTACTATATCAATATGTTGGAAATAAAATATAATGATTTACTACTGAAATATCTCATCAGTCCATATTCAGTGCTATTATTTTGGAAGTTTGAAAGTGGCGATGATGAGAGTATTTACACCAGAAAAATTGACAAATACTACAAACCTTGACTTCACTTAATATGCTATATTGAATACTTCAACTTAAAGTGAATGGTGGAGAATGTTAGCAATGTTGTTAATCTTGTAAGTGTATCATGCAAGTGGGCTTTAAATTGTTCATAGGATACAATTTGAGAAAAACAATTTTCTTCTGAGTTTTATGGTTCCAAATGGCAAAGAAAGAAGTTGAGTCCTTGAGGAATGAGTGAGTTACAAACAGATGTCTTTGATGGTGAAATGACTTCCTATTGATTAAATCATAAATTCACTTTAAGAATTGGCAAAAGTTTCTGACCAGACTTTTCAACTAAGGAGATAAAGACAGTGTAAATGTTGCATAAGGAAATGCTCACCATCAACATTTCTTAGGGAAATGGAGTTAAAACAAAACAATTTAACACTACTGATTTTCAGGCCTATAATTTAAAAATATTAAACATCGCATGTGCTCACAGGGATAATGAACAACTAGAATTTTAATTATTGTGAGTGTCTGGGAAGGCAAAGAAAGGACCATTTTAGATCACAGTTCTGCATATCTTAAAAGTAAAATACTCACCTATACTGCAACAGCTAGATAAGAAAAAAAGATAAAGGACCGAACCCAATATTCCCAGAAAATTTATTTATAATACCT